GCCGGGGCGGAGCCGACCGCCGACCGCTGGCCCGGCAGGTGCTGAAGGCCCTGGACAGCACCTGGTCCGCCATGGAGTTCGAGCACGAGCCCCACGCGCGCACCGGCGTGCTGCTGCTCAAGTCGGACGAGCTGCTGGTGGAGACCCTGGAGGACAACCAGGTGCAGCTGCAGAACCTGATGATGTCCAAGTACCTGTCCCACTTCCTGAAGGAGGTGACCAGCTGGCAGCAGAAGCTGTCCACGGCGGACTCGGTCATCTCCATCTGGTTCGAGGTGCAGCGCACCTGGGGCCACCTGGAGAGCATCTTCATCGGCTCCGAGGACATCCGCGCGCAGCTGCCCGAGGACTCGCGGCTCTTCGACCGGATCGACCAGGAGTTCAAGGTGCGCCGCGCCCCGCCCCGCGCGGCCCCTCAGCGAGGCCGGGGGGCGGGCTCCCACCGTGTGGCCGGTCCCCAGGCCTTGATGGAAGACGCCGTGAAAACCCCCAACGTCGTGGAAGCCACCAACAAGCCGGGCCTCTACAAGAAGCTGGAGGGCCTGAAGAAGAGGTGGGTGGGCCGCCGCGCCCCGCCGGCCGGGGTCTGGGGCGCAGCGGGGTCTGGGGCCGCGGGGTGCGCCCCGCCCCCCAGAACCCCCGGGCCCCTCCCCGAGCAGGACCGCACAGGTGGAAATACGCCCTCCGGGGCCGACGGGGCTGGCGGGAGGACGGAGCTCGGCCGGCCCGGGCCCTGCCCACCAGCGGCGAAGGGGCCGCCACCCAAGGGCGTGCCCCTCCCGCAGCCTGGCCGTGTGCGAGAAGGCCTTGGCGGAGTACCTGGAGACAAAGAGGCTGGCCTTCCCGAGGTTCTACTTCGTGTCCTCGGCCGACCTCCTGGACATCCTCTCCAACGGGAACAACCCCGTGGAGGTGAGCGGTCAGCAGGCGGGGTCGCCGGCCGGGCTGGCCTCCCGCCCCGGAGGCCCGGGCTGGCCCCTGTCTGGCGGGGACCGCCGGGCCCCCTGGCACAGGGACGTGGCCCGGGCCAGCGCCCTCGTGCCTGCGGGGCGGCTTCTGGGCACGCGCTGCCCAGCCAGCCCCTAGCCTGGGCCAGAGCCAGGAGGAAACGCTGCCTGGCAGCCCCACTTCAGCAGGGGGACCGGCTAGCTGGGCGGCCGGTGTGCGGGGCCCTCGTGGGACTACGGGGGCACAGCGTGGCCTGCGGCGTGGGCCGGGCTCGTGACGGCCGCACACTGGACGAGGGCTGGCAGGGGCCCCCGCCGGGGCAGACCCGCGGGGCCGACGTGGCCCGTTGTCACGGCCCGGCCGGTTTCACCGTGGCCTTCCCTGGGGTCCACGCAACACCGAGCAGAGACGGGCACGCCGGAAGGTGTGTGGCCCGCGAGCCGGCCCGCGCCGCATGCCGGCCCTCCCACGCAGGTGAGCCGCCACCTGTCCAAGCTCTTCGACAGCCTGTGTAAGCTCAAGTTCCAGCTGGACGCCAGCGGGCAGCCGCTCAAGGTCGGCCTGGGCATGTACAGCAAGGAGGACGAGTACGTGGACTTTGACCAGGAGTGTGACCTGTCGGGGCAGGTGAGTGAGCTGCGAGCCCCAGGCGGCACCCGGGCGCCCTCGGCCCCTGCGGACGGCGCAGAGGCCTGCAACGCTGCTCTGTGGAGTCCCCAGCTCAGCCCGCCCAGGGGTGTGGGACCCCTCTGGCGGGGGGCGGGCGGGGGGCGGGAGGGAGAGG